AAACTTGAGCGACTCCAAAACTTCTGTATCAGATTTATATTTGGCTTGCGCAAATATGATCACGTTTCCAATTTTCGCTCTAAGCTCAAGTGGCTTCCCATTAGGCTTCGCCGGAATACTCACATACTAGCACTTCTTTACAATATTTTGTTTAATCCCTTCTCCCCGCGCTATCTCAAGGAACTTTTTAAGTTTCAAAATTCCCTATCGCTTACCCTTAGGTCATCAGAAAATCTGACCCTTACAATGCCTGTTCACCGCACCAGCTATTATGACCATTCTTTTGTTGTACAAGCTGTTCGGCTTTGGAACTCGTTGCCTACTAATATCAGACGCGCTCAGTCTTTGAATATATTCAAAGACCAGCTCAAAAATTTATATCTTTCGCAGTGAATCTGATTTTACTGTGGAAACTTTTATCGTATATATGTTATGTTTATGTATGCATGTGTATGTATATATGTGTAAGTATGTTTATATGTTATTAAATGCATATGTATGTGTATGTGTATATATATGTATGTGTATGTATGTATATATATTTATATGTCTAATTAGGATACTTAGTTTGGTGTAGATTGTATGTATGGATGTGACTATTTATTCCAAGCCATATAACACCCCTATGGTCTCTGTATAACTTTTCATACTCAGTGGTTGTCTGGAAGAAATCGCTCTTAGCGATAAGACCGCCAATTAAAACGCTTTTGTTAATATTATTGTTTGTGAATGTTACGTAATTATGTATTTGGTGTTATAATAAAGTGTTAATCTATCTATCTATCTAGTTTTACTTACACAATCACGACCAATTAAATGATACCTCGCATGTCAAGTCGTTCAGGCTGTAGGGCGTGCTAAAAAAACGGACATACATACCTACTTATATACATATCTCTCCAAAAACGTTACCCTCCGCTGGCAAGTAAAAAGAAGATTTCGACATCTTGGATCATAAAATTATTGTAGTATTCGTAATTTGCACTCCCAAAAATTATAAATAAAATACACATATTTTTATTGGTTTTAGTAAATAAAAATAATAATATAGTAGATTCCCATATCAATACATCTTCTTTCTTATTTCAATTGACTATATTATTGTTGATGTTGATGGTTCATGCAGGGGGTTGATTTTTTATTGCTAGATAGGTATATGACTTATATTGTGGGATAGAGGAGGTTATTCTAGTATTTTTTTCCTAATAATATGCTCAAAACATCATCATCATCAGCCTATGAATGTCCATACTGCTAGGCCATAGCACAGGCCTTCCCAATAGATAGAATAGAGAGATTGGGCCATGACCCACCACGCGGGCGCAATGTGGATTGGTGGGTGCTAAAGACTGCAGATGCAGCTGTTTTTTGGAGAGTGCCACTAGAGGTATTCCAGGCGGATGGCATCGTCCCACGGGGGGAGTCTCTTCTGCTTCTGGAGCCTCTAGACCACTCGAACTTGAGGGGTTCGGCTCAACTAGAGGGCGTCTCTGAGACTCGGACCTCGGCTCTAGTTAGCCGTTGTCGTGTGTAGGCCGGGTCTTCGCACTCTTATCCTACGGGTGCGGTGTCTGCCTAATGCTAACTAGTGTGCAAGTATGCAAGCTGTGTTGTAGTGTTGGTGTTTGTGGCCTGTGTGGGATGAGTCGGAGGCGCGTTGGCGCGGGTGATTTCGCCGTCGAGGTACTCTAACACGTACCTAGGCCGACGGAACCGGAGTGACCTACGATTGGAGGACGGGAGGGCAGACGTGTGATAACTACAGGCTTTGACTACGAAGAGGTTCGGATGATGCGCGGCTTTATCGAAGTAACGTATCGAGGCATCCTTCATACACTTCGCGATGGAGTATAATTTGAAATCGCGATGCAAATCAATGATGCGCACGTTACTACGGGTAATCCGGGCACTGCGCAACACACGATTTTGCAGTGTTTGTAAGGGTTTAAGACGGGACGAAGGTACGTGGGCGAAGCTAACACTCGTATACCCATTAAAGGGCGGATGTAAGTTTTGTAAATTGTTAATTTATGACTAAGTGTCATTTTACTTTGCTTCCCTATGAGGTGGAATAGCCTGCCGCGAATGAATGCTGCGCCATCGCGAACTATCTTGAGATCAGGTGCAAACGTTAATCGGTTATCTAACGTAACTCCCAAGTACTGGACCCGGTCCTCCCAGGGGATGACCCGGTCAAATAATTGGATGCTCGGAAGAGAACGCGTGTGTCGAGCTAAAGGGGATTCGGACGCTTTTTTTCCGGATTAACCTCGACTGACGACTGACTGATTGACGACCTCTGTGGCCGAGTAGTTTGAACGCCGGGTTTCATTGTATCGCCGACTCGAGAGGTCCTGGGTTTGAATCCCAGTGGGGGCAGATGTTTGTGTGATGAATACGAGCATTTGTACTCCAGTCATGGATGTTTAATATGTAATTCTATATAAATATACTTATATATGTACAGTATATGTATACTATCCGTTACCCTAGTATCCCATAACACAAGCCTTATAGTGCTTACTTTGGGGCTAGGCTAATTGGTGTGAGTGTTGGAAATATTATTATTATTATACGCCATCTACGTAACCAATCGCCAAGGGTGGTAGCGGCCGATTGAAGTCTATTACAGACTGTTCCGAGACGTCTATCGGAGCTAGAGACAGATACGAGCTTTTTCTGAAGTTGATTTAAACACGTAATTTATATAATAGATTAACTAAAAATCGATAATATTACTATAAAATCGATAGTAAAAAACTGATTAAAATAAAATAATAATCGGTTTAAATAAAAATTGATTATATTTTAACATCCCTATCTAAGGAGGTCTCGTCTCCTTAGTAGTTTATGACATAAATAGTAATCTGAGGTTATGCACTGATGCCAGATTGGGGGGAATCCACCCAAATTTGGGAGGTTTTAAAGCGATAATTTGGGGTAAATATTTTTGGGGGGATCATTGTGGGGTAAAAATTTTGGTTTGGGGGAAATGGGGTGTTTTTAATTCCATGTTTTATATAAAAATAATACCACTTCCTTAACTTTTAATCTGTAAAAAGTCGCGATCAACAGTCAATCAACAGTCACTCTTTCTCATTCGGTATAGAGCATGATAAGGATCTAGACTGTTGTCAAAATTTATTTTATTAGGCTTAGAGAATCATGCAAGAATCGGCCCCACTTAACTGTCTTCATTCAGTGAGCCCGATTAGAACCCCTAAGTCCAAAGCCCACTTAAAAAGGTACTTTTCAGTCCATTCCGTCTAGCTCGGTCAGTCAAGTCCATGTCAAGTCAAGCAAGTAAAAGGCAGTCGTTAATGGTCGTTAGCATAAACTGCAAATCGATTCGACACTATCTCTCAACTTTTCAATTTGTCCTTTTAATTATTTCCATCTAGGCGCGTGGCTCGTGGCGCGAACATCTAGCGGGCACTTTTTAATTTATTTTATTTGCAGCAAGATGACTGACGATCTTTTTGAACTTGTACGTCAACGAAAAGTTATATATGACTCAAAGTGTAAAGAGTACAAGGATCAATTGATCAGAAATGCTGCTTGGGAAGAAATTGCTGAAATTTTAAAAGAACCAGGTAAGTCAATAAAATAGTATTTTACTTTATTATTTATTTGAAAAGGGATAAATCAAAAATTATACAAAATTAACAATTAATACTATTTAAGTACTGTTCAGAATAACGCCAGAGTACGCCACGACACGACACGTTAGTGTGCACACTCACCATCACGACAGAAAGCATCGCACCACGCCACGACACGTAAATATGTTTCCGCCTTAAGTTTTGGCGGAAAGGCGAAATGGCTTTCTGGTAACACGGGGTTTATGATTAATTATGTCTAAAAGGCATAAAGCCAGAAACATATTAACGTGTCGTGGCGTGACGTGGCGCATCGGTTTCATACAGTTAATATGGGTTAGAGAGAGATAGAGAGGTTAAAGAGTCGACACGACACGATACGTAAATATGTCTCTAACCATAGTAAATGTGTGAAACCGATGTGCTTGATGAGGAGGTCGATGGCGCAAGTGGTTAGCGCGTTCGGCTGCGATCGTTGAAGTTAAGCAACTTTCGCAGTGGTCGGTCATTGGATGGGTGACCAAAAAAAATTTACTATCTCGAGCTCCTCCGTGCTTCGGAAGGCACGTTAAGCCGTTGGTCCCGGCTGCATCTGCAGTCGTTAGCACCCACCAATCCGCACTGGGCCTGCGTGGTGGGTCATGGCCCAATCTCCCTATTCCATCCATAGGGAAGGCCTGTGCCCCAGCAGTGGGGACATTTAGGGTGAGGCCAAACGAGCGTAATTTTGTGAGTGGTGAGTCGCAGAATTTCGGTCGCAGAAATTCTGCTGCATTCGGTTTCATACAAAAAGGCAGTTGGTGCCACACGACAACGCAAAATGAGTTGTCTGCCGACTCAATGCGCATAAGCTCGTCCGAATTTCGGTCGGGGTGAGGGTAGGGCAAGGAAGGGGAGTGGGGAAGCAACAGATTGTTACAAGTTGCGTGGTGTAATAATTCTTTAAAAACACGTAATGGCATATGATAGTACTTTTCAAACATACCTGGATTTGCACATAAACGTTCATATAAAGTATGGAAATGTCCACATATCAGCCTCTGACTATTCAGTGGGTTTACCCAGTTTCTTTTTCTGGCCTCATCTTCTGAATATGCTTCGTAAATACACAATATTTTTAATGGATCCATTGCATTCGACGACACGAACACCCCGTACTAACGCTCAATAGTAACTGAATAAATTACGTTCGTATGGCAGCTCAACAGAAATTCAGTTGAACGTTAAATAAGTGACCGAAAATAAGCGACTCACAACTCACAAAATTACGCTCGTTTGGCTTCACCCTAATAGGCTGATGATGATGATGATGATGTGCTTCTGGCGCGACATGACACGACACGTTAATATGTTTCTGGCTTAAGAACAATGTATCCATTGCCAATAAATAAATTAAAAAATAAAAAAAGTTATAAAGATTCTGTGCTTCTAGTTTGTTTTGTGTCAGAAAATTAATGTTTTTAAATTTCCTTCCTTTACTTATTTCTGTTTCGATTCCGAAACCCGATTATTAAAATGGCAGGTCCAATGGAAAGAATACAAGTCCTAGATGACATTGAAAAAGATATTATAACTTGTTTACAATGTGCAGGTTAGCTCTTGGAGTATATTTTCGTGTGGCTTTTTTGTGGTTTGGCTACTTTAATGGTTTTTAAATTATTTCTACCCACTTTAATTTGCAGCTCAAGCACTTCTCGAACTTAGTAAAGAGAAATCTGGCCAGAAACAAGCAGAAACAAATACTTCACAATTCTTGAGAACTTTAAATCAAGTGGAATCAAAACTCAGTGATCAAATTAATTATCTTACGCAAGTGTCTACCGGACAACCTCACGAAGGGTCTGGATATGCTTCACAGAAGGTTCTACAAATGGCTTGGCATAGATTAGAGCATGTCCGCTCTTGGGTAAATGAATTGGACCGCCTCAAAGCATCACATTTGGCAGTTACTAACAGAACAGCTACTGGAACTGTCCCAAATGGTAACATGACTTCTTCAGGAACCAGTACTTGATAATAGTGTCCACATATTTGTGTTACAAAGGTTCTTCAGAATTACTTACTAGTTTCACAAGGACTAAATAAAAAATCCTAAGACTAAGCCCTATATCTTGATGGGATTATGTTCTATTTATTTCTCTTAATTTGTTTGATAACAAAAAATAAATAAATATACCCAAAATAAATTTATTTTATTTATATTCAAAAATATTTATGCCTAACAGCCAAACAGGGATACTTGCCAGAAAGAAGGATGTTGCTTCAGAAAACTTGCTGCAAAGGTTTTAGCAATTTCTAAAATGAAGATATAGCACATTCTTCTAATATTGTGTACTTTTGTTTACACTAAATACCCCTTTAAAATGGTCTTAGAAAGAGGAATGATGAACTAATGTTAGAATAACAGTTTACGATGTAGTGCTAGAACAAATGATTGAATGACTGATTTATTCAATTTCAGCAGGGATCCATCCCCGCCAAAATTCCATTCCAATGGAAGATGTAAGGTACACCACTGAGATCTTCTTGAGTTTTGGCATTATTTTCCAGAGATCCAGGTTCACAGCTCTGTAAAAACCGAAATTTTAAAGCCAAAGTTAGAAATTTTAAATAGATTAAATTTAGCACTGCATACATAATTTATAACCGGTTTTGAGACATAGGATATTATTTATTCCGGAAAATTTTAAGTTCCTGAGATATTAAGTTTAAATGAATCACCAATTGGAAGAAGGGAATAAACACCATTTTTCCCAAATCGGGTTGCACGGCAATGCCCCCGCCAAGTCGAGCGCGAAATAAACACTGCCGTACCATCCTTTACTGGAACCATTTCGCCGCATTTTCAGGCCCCTATATGAGAACCTCTATTTTCGTCATCCAGTAAGCTTAAAATCCAGAATTTCAAGTCTGTAGGTCATTTAGTTCCGATGTTAAGCGAAAGCAAAGTTTCGCATTTATGACACTCACTCACTCATGATCATCAGAATATAACTAGTACTTTCCATAAACTCAGAGAGCTGAAATTTGGTACAGAGTTAGGGTAGGTATTTGTTTCTCAGGTTTTCACGCATATCACTCATTAAATAAAACTAGTTTTTACGGGTTTATGCAAGAAACTTTATTTATTTATTGACGTTTCGTAGCCTTTACAGGCTACGTCGTCAGAATCAAACTTTTATTTAATTTGTCGAGCTACCTTCGAAAGACTTTTATTGAGCGTTCCGTTATTTCATTGATTTTTAAAGTTTTATTGTCTATGTATGAATTTATTATTTAATTTACATAATAAAGTATTTTATTTAAAATTCTTTTTTGTAATTTTGTGTTTATTTATTTGACCCTAACATTTTAAAGTAGGGTTAAATGCCCACATAAAGGGAAAACTATAAAGACTAGGATAATCGAAGATCTGGAGTACCTGGTGACCATGATTACAAAACACAAGAGCCCAAACAAACTATTAGAAGAGATCGACATACCGCCTTTATAAAAAATATTCAACTTGGTGGGCCGCTTCATTTGATGTCAAAAATTGAAGGTCTGAAGTATCTGATGAAGAACCATCAGCTGGTCTCAGCTGTATTAGAGATATGGTAATGCCCCATTCTACTATTGGTACACAGAAAAATCGACTGTCATGCAAAAATCCAGCGTAGTGGGACACATCTTTTAATTTAATCTAGCCTTTAGCGTCCCACTGCTGGGCGAATGCCTCCCCTTCTACTTTTAATACGCATATAAATAAAATAAAAGGAAAACTGTGGATAACACAAGACTGGCTTTTATACTTATACTTACGAGTTTACAAGAAAAAATAGTCGAACGATTAACTTTTTTCTACTCGAACATTACACAAATTAAATAAACAAATTACACTAAAATATTAATTTCGCTCAAAATTTGGTCAAAATATAATGCATTGGACTAAAAGTGATACCAAGGTCTAAGTCTAAAAAATGCCCTCATGGACATTGGCACCTCCATATTCGCTTGTGGCCAAGCCTACGTGGCGCTTTCACGAGTAACCAATCTTCATGGGGTGCACCTCATAAATGTTGACTTCAAGAGTATAAAAGCTCAAGCTTCAGCGATCACGGAATACAACCGGCTTAGGCGTAAATACCGCGCCAATCTTTCAGAAATTAAACCGTCTAAAAGAATAAATAAAGAACGCGAATGGGCAATACGAAAAACTGTTGCTACTGTTCAAGAATCAGAATCGGAAAAAAAGAACAATAAGATTTGTAATAATAAAAATACTCCCAAAAAGAAAAAAATGTGCCAAATAAGAAAATCTAATAAAATACGTTTCTTCAAAAAGATGTGAAATTCCATTCCCACCAAAAACAGTCTGTAAAAAACTAGCTAAGTCTCGATGGAGCTGCTTGTTTATCTTTAAAAAGTAATGAAATCTAGACAAGTCGTGCCAAGTCTAAGGTTACTTACTGCGATTTCCTTTAATTGATGCTATTCACTTTTTACAGTGCTCATTAGAAAGCTATTTTTGAGGACTTTAAAAGAAAAGTGTTCAGAAAATATATGTTATAAAATGCATCGGTTTCCCGTTATTTAGGTTTGAATACTTAGATTTAAGTACTCGCTGAAAAATATAGATAGAATAACCTATAGCTCACTTTGAATTAATATTAGAAGGTTTTTCCAAGTAAGGATTTGTTTGTTTTTCTATTAGCCTCAATTTTGGTAATAATATTTTTTTTATATAGTTATCGAGTCATATGAAAAACCGCTTTAAAACATGTATTTTTATCACGAAAAATCACAATCTTTCATCTTTAATAACTCAGAAAGTATTGATTTATTCCAAAAACTTTATATAACAAATTTTGCTTAGAATTTGTCTCTCTATCGATTCCTGGAGTTATTTTTATTAAAATAATTTTCACCCCCCAGAAGGGATGGCATCTACCCCCAGGGCAAAAGCGTACGTTGGCACTATGTCACTTTTGTTTCTTAAGGTATCCCCCCCCTACTCACTAATTTTCATAAAAATCGATGGAGATTCAACGAAATCGGAGGTGAAAACCTTCATTGACTGGACTATAGGTAGACCGCTTAAACGAGTCCTCGCCTGCGGGGTTAATTAGGGGAGGGCGTAAACGGGGACCGTGAGAGGTGCGAGCGGCAGGCACATTGTCAAAATTAAAAGTGCCCGCTGCCTGCACCTCTCACGATCCCTGTTCTCCTCTTCCCTCACAGGCGAGGTTTTAGTTATGCGGTTTACCTATAGTCTAAGCTTATTATTCTTCGTTTATTAATAAAGGGGGTTGAGGTTACGTTACACTCCGTTATCAATGTGTACCGATATATGGTAATCAGAGCAAATAAGTACAATATTTAACTTTTATCTAATCACCGCGACATGGGGCATGAAGATAGATAGATACCTACCTGATTTCTGTGCCTATCGAATCAGCCAAGGTCGGCACAGAGGTTGGCTTGCTTACGCCATGTTTATGCACTCTCTTTCCATAACATACGTTTGATTTGATGGACCGTATTTGTTTGGCCGTGGCCGCGCATAGTTCGGCTGATAACGGATTAGGTGTATCAGAGCCCGAACGCTTAAACTCACCGAATGTGGGCCCTCAGATGAAACGCCTCAATTGCCATATTACTGTATCTGACCAACTTAAATAATAATGACGAATGAAGGGCTACATATACCTAAAGAAGAGCTTTGCTTTACTCAGTGACTGTCAATAAAGAAAATCAAAATCAGTTAGTGGCCTCTCAGTTATCGCGTACTCAAAATTCTGTGCCTCGAGGCCAGAGGCACGCGCATGGGTTTGTCTTTTTTGTTTCATGTGACGTCCTCCATGTTGGAATTGCTAGCACCCCGTTTTCAAGATGTCGCCATCTCTGAGGTACCGGATTTGATTCTGGACAGGTCAATAAAGAAGACTCGAGTCTTCGACCCACAAGCCAGCGAGTTCTCTAGCAGCTTGTAAACTCGCCCCGTGTCATCGAGCATACTAATATATCACCCATGTAGATTCCACATTCTTGTAGGTAACTCGGGATGCGAGCTGATAACCGACTCGCACATGACAGTAACTCGTATGATGCGGTTACACAATGCGAGTAACTGTACTACAGTAACTGATTAGGCCAGCTCGCACTGTATAACCTAGGCATTAGGTATAATTAATACAGCCAAGATCAATGTCTTGATATAAGAATATAACCATGTCTTATAAACCTTGCCTAGGGAACCTATGGGAATAAAATTATCAAGAAATACGATTTATAATTGGAAACTAAAATTTATTTTTGTTTGTTTAGTTTTGCTATAAAATAAGGAATGAAAAACTTTTCTTATCAAAAGATTTTTAAAAGTTCATGAAATGAAACTTATCATGCCATAATGGAAATGAGATTTTTTCCCATTAGGATGTCATTAGTACCATTGGCTAGTACCATTGATGGTACAAGTGATACAACTTTGTATACTTAATACCATGACTGAAAAGTATGGATATTCGCGCCGTAATTGTAATTGACAATAGTGGTACTATAGATACAAAACTTCGTATCCTTAGTACCATTATTGAAAAGAAAAGTTATTTACTACAGTGAACAAATGATTCCCTGTAAATGTAACCGATAAAAAAAAAATCATGTACACCAGTACACCAGATGTTTTTGTATTGTCATACCTTTAAATGAAAAAGGAAAACGAAACTTCTACGCTCAAGTATAAAGGGAAATATAATAAATCCATACAATCAAAGGCGCAAGTTTTCTAAAAATAATGTCACATTTCATTACCATTAATGAGCTGCATTTGAACATGCTGTTTAAATGCACATCGCGCGATGATAGATTTTTAAACAGCTCCTTTATTACATTTACAGCGGTGAATGCTGCATACTCCTTACTGGTCTTTAAAAGATGGCTTATTGTTGTGGGTCTCCTCTTAAATATTTTGTTGAATTGCCCATTCCACCTTTCACACACTTTAGTTGTACTGTGTCTTTCGACAAAACAAGTTTCACTAGTAGCATCGATAGAATTAGCAACACAACAATATTCAAGTAGCGATACAACAATATAATTGGATGCTACAATTTATCCTAAATTAGTGTCACTAGTACCCTTGGTGGTACTAAGGATACAAAGTTGTGTCACTAGTACCATCAATGGTACCAGCCAATGGTAACTGACACAAAGATTTTTTTTAAAAGCTTGCAATAATTTAATTGTGTAAATAAATAATATTATGTGAATTCGAATGTGATCATTAGAAACAAAAAGGTTCACAATAAAGAAACGCAAATACCTATATATAACACCTACAATAAAATAATAACACACTTCTTCCTGTTACATTGTTGGCTAAATGTAAAATATTATTTATAATGTATACCAAATTAGTAAGAAAACTGTTATTTACTTTATGTTTTAATGTAAAAAAACCCCATTTAGCAAACCAATTAAAGCTTAAGTCTTTAAAATCTTAAGCAATACAGTCAACAGCACACACGGTATTACAAAATTAGTACATTTTATTGTAATTGTTTTGTGTAATTATCTAAAATTGAATACTATTATCAGAATATTCTAGTGATTGAAATGTTCAAGTTACATGTAATCTAATCATCTTTATATAATTGGGTGCTTTTGTGTTCTTTTGGGTAGCTAGTTAAAATGATGATGATTTGAATCATGTGATATACATAATAATTCAGGACACTTTCAAACAACATCATTACACCATTCTAACAAACATTGTAAAAAAACCAATTGTGCTAACAATAATTATAAATAAACTATTAAATATTACATTTCTCACATTAAAAAGTACAGCAATTCAGGTAATACAGTATGGGATGACATTTTGTCCAGGACAACACATTGTCATGAGACTTAACACAGAAGTCACTCCTCTTTTCAGCTTCGTTGATTTGCATTGGATTTGGTGAATTTCTCTATGTCATCCAATGATCTCTTTGCTTTTGTCGAAATATCATCCATTGATCTTCGGGCAGTAGAAGTGATGCCATCTATAGATTTCTTTGTCTGCGTTAGCAATTCATCTGTGCTTTTGCAAGCTGATGTAGCAAGTTCTTTAATTTCAGAGTCTATCTTTCCTATAACCCATTCAATCGCTTGCCTGCCTTTGCCAGCATTCAAAGAAATCTTGTTTGTCAACAAATCTTCCATGTAACTGCTAAGAGGCACTCCCTGAAAATATAGAGTAATCATCAGTATAGTAATTATATATATTATTAATGGCCCACCCTTGCTCCGCTTCAGTATAGAGTAGTAGTGTAGACTAGTTTTTGTTCAAAGGCTTGTATATGTATTATACACAATGATTTCTTCATAATAATTATAAACCTTCCATACCAAGTAAAAAAATTATTGCATAGTTTAGGACCCATTGTACCAAATGCACCATTGCTCTGCTGTTCCAATTAGAAAAATTCCTTTTGTATTGGATAGTGCATTTATCGAGGAAGGCTATAGGCTATATAACATCAGCCTATGACCAGTAGTAGTGTAAAAACGAGTAAAAATATTCCATTTGTGAGATTCCGTTGCATCCGCTGTATAAACCTGTTAAAGTTACACAAAAATCAAGCAGGTATAACGGAATTGTTCCCCTTTAAAAATTCTTTTAAATGACTCAAACCCGCACTGCTCATTATGCTATCGTGGCTCTGATAGCCGTGTCGAATTTACTCTAGCCTTTCTTAAGCTGCAAGGCAGCGCCAACTCTATGCATTGTGGGTAACCAAATGAATACCTTTACAAGTATGGAACATTTGAAAGAAGAAATAGCAATAATAGTTATATACATTTTATTTTTTAAGCATGTAACTGCTAGATGTTTAAATCTAAAGAAATTTTAACTAGAAAAAATTCCATCGTAATCTGTTTAGTAGTTTTTGCATGACTGAGTAACAAACATACATTTCACCTTTATACATAGTATTAGTAGAATGGGATATATATACAATTTTTGATATTTGTTGGTACTGGGTGCCACAACCACACTACTACCAACCGTATAAAGGACATCAACGCAATCGGCCCCAGCATGCACAAATGAATGTCCTTCACTATTATTTTTTACTTTATTAGCAATTAATCATAGTAAACAGACATTCTGTAGTAAAAAAATCAAAATTAAAAGTTCTGTAAATAGGTAGCTACTACACAATTTTCTGTCATGTCATCTTTTGTGCCTTAAGAGACTGTCTCATCTAAATTCAAAAGTTTCCACCAATGAGGTTCAAAAAATTATTTCAAATATAAGTGTTTTTTTTTTAATTCAATTAATAATAAATGCAATATACATGACCATAGGTATTTATCAACATAAGAATAGAACTACTACTATTCTTAGTTATATCATGTTTATAGCTAGATAATTTCTGAAATTATTTAAAGGTAGTTTATACTACCATCCCATATATCTGCTTATTTTTATGAAAATCATCATAATCATAATCAAATCATAACCAGGTACATATACCTAATTACCAATAATAAAATATAGAAACAGGTAAATGGAAAGCCTATGAACATTTCATTTGAAAAGAAATCTATCATTAAACAGGTAGGTATTAGTATCATAGGTGCCAACTGTCAACACTCATAAATCAATATGAATATAAGCATTTATTATCTTATTATTAATTGCATTTTATGTTTATTTAATTCATATTATTTAAGTGCTTACATAGAGGTAAACAATAAATATATTCAGCAGACATAAAGTGTAGATCGTTTACCATTAAGTATAATAATTATAACCTCAAAGTTTGTAGTAGTAAAATACATTCTGTAGTAGGCCACGGTTCCTCAAGTTGTCCATATTTCACCAATGCCTAATGCGAGTTTATGAATTTTTCCGAACACAACTAGCATTTTCTCATTGCTGTGCATTCTGGGGCATTCAATGTATGGGTAATGTCCTTTACATGTCATTAAAAATCCTGTCCTATTATACAATATTATTAAAATTCTGTGAATGGGCTGAAGTAAAAAAATTGTATTGTTTAAAATCAAGTTAAGTATTTATTATCAAATCAAAAAATCATTTTCTGGCTGTTGAAGATTGAATTGTATATCTTCTCATGAAGATCATATCTATATATTGTTATCTTAATATTTGGCATAGGATTGCATATTTTTTTTTATACCTACCTACATACTTTTTCTATATCATTATCACATGTTAACAACAATTTCTTTTCCTTATATACTGTTGGCAGTGTATCAAGTTTATTAATTTGGACTTTGCCCTTACTGTGTAGTTAATGGTTCTATACATAAGAAATGTGATCAGCAGCTACATAGCATTACAAATGTCAAATTGACTTCCTTGTTCTAGATATTGATATGTTAGTAATTGGCATGGCCTCCACTGTATGCTATTTATGTTTTTATTAATAATTCATAATGGCATTTTTTATATGTCTATCTTTCAATCTCTTTTTTATATATCTATAATTATATTTCTCTAATAATTTTTACTACAAAAATTCTGTTTCAGATTTTATGTAGAATAATCTAGTAAGTATTTAATAAAATATAAATTCAACGGGCATTCTATGATAATCATATGATAAAAACAATAAATTATATAATAATAACAAAAACTAAAAAGAAAGAAAAAAATAAGAAATACTTACTTGAACAGTTACAACAGCCTCTTGTTTAAGTAGTGTTTTGGAAGGATCTGTTGGGTCAGGTGTATATCTGACTGTTTCATCAACAGCTATATATCGACAAAAAGATAAGTTTGTAGTTTTGAGGGTCATCTTTCGTATTGTTGGATCTACCTCTGATTTTTCACTAGCATAACATATTTTAGCAGTCCCTATAAGCTGAAAGCAATTTATACCTCATAAAATTAAGTTTCAAGACAGCTTCATTTCAACATTTTTATCATACTTTAATTAACAGTAAATTCAGAGACATTGTTAATTTACCGCTTGAGCCCATTTTGGGAAAAACCATTTGGAGCTAACAAGTCGATGAGTGTGTAATACACCATCCACTACTCTTCTTTCCACAACATCAGTTCCTATGACAGCTGGATTCATGGGATTGGGATACTTTCGCCATGCTGCTTGAGCTACAGTCTCCCAAGGGTGGCTGTAATATTTATAATTGTTAAAACCGATGATGTTTGCAGACATTCCAACATTATTGATAGGCGATGTTGCGTCATTGGAAAACTTACTTGAAAGTGTGTTCTGACGTCCAAATTTTCATTTTTGTTATTTTTCCTGGATATAAATCAAATTCCTTGAGATAATAATTGCTATATTTCTTATCTTTCCTCACATTACGCTGACATAGAATAACCCTCTCTCACTCGATATTCGATTGAAAAGAACGTTAAAATGAACCAAAAATAATTAGGTAAGATTACTTTGACAGCACTCAATGTCAAAACTATTTTAACGTTTGTTCACATAAAGAATAATTTTCTTTTGCCTTCCGAAATGGAGAAATTAAAAATACTTTTTTCTTTTTTGGACCTACAGTGGTGTCAATTCTGACGTGATTCTCTAAACTTAAAACTAAATTTAAGGTCAGTCTCACCTTCTCATTCTGTATAGAGAAGGACAAGGATGCACTGTTGTCAAATTTAAGTTTAGCTTTAAAGAATCATGCCAGAATCGATATCAGTTTGTCTTTAAAGTCGTGACATGAATGTTTGAGGAACTAACATTATTCATGTGTCTGGCAACACCAAACTTATGTACATCAGCTGTCATCGAGTTTCAGTTGTGGAACAGTTTTCCTTTTGTATTTTTTATTGTTTGGATTAAACTGTAATAAATTAATACGAAACTACGCAGAAAGGTATAAAAATGAGAAACGTAAATCGGAGTGGCACGCGGGAAGTGATTTTTAAAGTTTTCCAGCGATGTTTCGAAGACTACCAAGCTGGACGAATTTTGTGGGATTTGGATGATGTTTATGGGCGAACAGCATCTATAACGGGTATGTAATCGTGTAACTATTTGTTTGTAATTGGCCTGAAGTTACAAATTTACTCAATTTACGATTTTGAGACCAAAAAAACATTGTTTACATTGCACATTTTCAGGTTAGATTGACATTGTAAATAGGTAATATTGTAGTACGACCATTTCTTTTGATACGTTATTATGGTTCAACCACAGACATATAATACTATAGCAGACGGAACATAAAACCTAGTTATATTTATGAATCAAAACATGATCTTTTTGTTATTTGATGAATTAAAATATCCGGATCATTTAAAACTTTGTTTAATTGTTATAAACTCCTTTACATCTTAATCTAATCAGAGGCACGTTCGCAACAGAGAGAGAAAAGTTGCCAGTACAAACATAGATTATAATATGAACATATGACCACAGATAATGAAATCTTAACACCCCCCCTCGATTTTTAGTCATTTTTCTTATTTAATTATATAAAATATGACTAAAAATTGCCTTTACACAAAAAGATAAACAATGATATACAAACAGTTTTTATCTAGGAACACAACTATTTACTTTAGCTTTTACTTTTCAAGACTTTACTTTGTATTAACTTTTACATTTTTCAATTATTAATTTTAACAAAAACAATTAACTCTTATGGACAATTTATAATACTATTTATCACAATGTTACAATTTTAAATGAATTATTTTATATTCAGCTCATTTTTCATATTAACAAGTTTTTCATTTGACAAAGTTTTGGTTAACATATCTGATAAGTTATTATTAGTAGGAATATAATCAACACAAATTTCTTTTTTAAAAATAAGATCTTTCAAGAAATGATATTTAATATCAATGTGCTTGGCTCGCTTACTATTTTCAAATGATTTTGACAATTGAATTGCACCTATATTGTCCATGTACAGTATGCACTTCACTTCACTATCGAGTCCATTTAAGTCACTGTAATTTGTAGGATCATCTGTAGTTACTAAACAATAAGCTTCATACATCTCATAATCATTCATGTAGTTTGGTTGCTTTATTTCTCGTCCTTTTCTAGTAGTGTATTTGTTTGACTCAATTTCATCTTGATTTTCCTGTTTATTTTCCATATTATCTTCTATCTCAATTTCAATATTATTACTTTTTATTATATTCTCTTCATGTTGTATATTTTCTTTCTTTAATTTATTTTCTTCTTCTGTATATGTAAAATCTGTTTCATCAAATCTAATATCTCTGGTAGTTAATACATTATCTGTCACAGGGTCCCATACTTTGTATCCAGTTCGCGAATACCCAACCATCCTTACAGGGGTAGCTCTTTGATCCAACTTGTCCTGTCTAGGTATATTTACCATCCAGCCTTTACTTCCAAATATTCTCAACTTATTCAATATAAATTCTCTTCCAAAAACTTTTGCTGGTATTTTAAACTGTATTGCTTTAGATGGACATCTGTTTACTAAATAAGTTGCTGTCAGTACTGCTTCACCCCATAGTTGACGAGGTAAGTTAGATTCATCCAATATCGTCCGAGCTTTATCATAAAGTGTTCTATTCATCCTCTCACTTTTGCCATTCATCTGTGGACTGTATGGTGAGGTATATTCCAGTATTATGCCTAAATTCTGACAGTACTTCTTAAAATTATTAGACGAGTATTCACCACCGTTATCACAGCGTAATCTCTTTATTTTTATACCCTTTTCTCGTTCTATTTCTTTAATATAATTTATGATATTGTTTTCCACCTCTGACTTATTTTTCAGTAAGTAAGTCTGTGTGAAATGTGAATAATCATCGATTATGGTCTGGAAAAATCTATGACCTTCTTTAGTTGGAATCCTTGCTGGTCCAGCTACATCCGAATGTATGAGTTCACCAATTTGTTTTGATTGACAGTATGTAATTGGTTTAAATGGTAGTCTAGTACTCTTATTAGTCATACAAGTATTACAAATATTTTTATCTGATTCTAAACGCATCATCTTTAAACCCTTTCTATTTAGGTGACCTAATCATCTGTGCCATATATTTTTATCTTCTTTCTTATTTATGTAGTGACAATAATTTCCTTCTTGTTCATTATGAAATAGTGTAAGTATATATAATTTCCCTTTTTTGTTGCCATAAAATGTTTCCTTTAAATTATAAATTTTTACTCTTTCTTCTTTAAACTGGACTGTATAACCTTTTGATATTAATTTTTGTACTGATATTAAATTATGACTTAAATTCTCTACTATTTGACATTCTATTGTTATCTTCTTTGATCGCTCATAAAACAATGTTAATTTTCCTTTTTTCTTCGATATTATAGACTCACCATTAGCAATTTTAATGTCTATTTCTTTATCTAAATTTTCTACATCATGCATGAACTGTTCTAATTCTTCTTTCACATAGTGGTGTGTAGCTCCAGAGTCAATGACAAACTCTTCTATTCCTTTATGAGAACTTGTTGTGGCTACAAATATACTATTTTGATTCACTTTACTTTCTATTTCTTCACTCTCTGTATAGTTTGCTTGTCTATTGTTCCTTTCATAATTATTTATATTACCTCTTGTATATTTTCCTCGACCTCTATATGACTTATTAAAGTTTCCTTTTGGTTTCTTACATTCATAGGACTTATGTCCTTTTCTGCCGCAAGTGTAACATGTCAAAAAACTTTTCGCTTCATTAATTATGTCTTGCCCATAGTTATATTTTAATTTCAATTCCGCATCTAAAAGTCTAGACTTTACTAACTCAATGGTAATATCACTCATTGTTTCTAACGCAGTAATAACGACATCATACTCGTTTGGCAATGTTAATAGTAAGTGACAAACCTTATCTGATTCATCCATTTTGGATCCACTGGCTTCCAAGTCCGCCATTATTGTATCAAATTTTAAGAAATGATCTTGTAATTTATCTGAATATTTCGACTTCATTGTTAATAGTTTCTTTCTTAAGTGCAATTTGTTAAACACGCTTTTTCGTTCCAATACCTCTTCCAATTTTTTAATCATGTCGGCCGCAGTCAGACATGTTTTAACAATTTCTAAATGAGAATCATTTATACACTGAACGATTAATGATTTTGCTTTCGCATCTTCAATTTGCCATCCGCTTTTAAGTTTTCCTTCTTCTAATGTATGACTTAAACCTTTTTCTTCCAATAATAATTTTATACGAAATTTCCAATTCGAAAATGTGACGCCATCACCCAGCTTTACATAGGTTATTCCCGATCCCGATGTCGTCATTGTTCTTGATCATTAAACCACTGATCCTTTAACCACGCTCTGCTGTTATTTGATGAATAAAAATATCCGGATCATTTAAAACTTTGTTTAATTGTTATAAACTCCTTTACATCTTAATTTAATCAGAGGCACGTTCGCAACAGAGAGAGAAAAGTTGCCAGTACAAACATAGATTATAATATGAACATATGACCACAGATAATGAAATCTTAACACTTTTATCCCTTTTGTACTCAGCTACAACTCGATAGTGGCATCTCATTCTTCCATCTATTGCAATACTGACTCACACATCAACAAATGTCAACGCGTGTCATTTTTATTCCTCGCCGCCATTTTATTCATGACTTATCGGACATGCGACTTTTCGGTGTTTATTAAGAATATTGCTTTGATGAAACTATATTACAAAACGAGATTATTCAATTACTATGGTCAAGTACAGTGCGTATCGATGTGAAAGTGCTATCTACAATAGAACACCAGGATTAACGTTTCATCAGTAAGTTTTTATGTGTCTTTGTTATGTACTGAAATGTCTTTGAGTCTTTTCGAAGCTTATTTAAATATTATCGTAACATGTAACATTTTTTTTTATTTTTTTATTTATTTTTACAGTTTTTGGGAAACTTACAGCTAGTTTTTCTTACTTGCTATTCTGTATAATATTTATGATTAAGGCCAATTAATAGTTTCCGCGGATAGTTAAAGTACTAATTAAAAAAGTCGGCATGAAGCGCACATGATGCTTAAATGCATTATTAAGTATGTATGTATGTATACTATATATACTTATAAGTAATTAAAAAAGCAGAAAGTTAAAAAATACATAGGTTAAGTACTCGGCTCAAAGAAAAGATTATTGAATTTTTTTTTAAATGAATTCAAGCTGTCACAAAACAAATCAACATCTAACTGGCCTGATGAGTACTGGTTAAAAGTGTGAGGAGCTCTAATTGTGAAAGAATTTCGACGATAATTAGTTGAGACTAACGGCACATAAAGAGTTTTAGAGTGCCTAGTGATTTTGTCAGGGGTACTAATAAATATTTTGCTTAACAATTCAGGGCAATCGATGCTGCTATTAAGGGTCTTCAATAATAGGGTGATGTCCGCCATTTCTCTGCGTTTCTGAAGTGGTAAAGTATGATATGCTTTACATCTACTGGAGTAACCATGGTGAAATTTCCTAC